CCCTGGGCGGAGATTCCCGCGGAAACCTGTCTTCCAGACCCGCTCTGCGCGTCTGTCTCTTTGCACGTTTATCTCTGTCTCTTCCTCCGCTTATACGCAGGCTCTCTGCCAGGCGCTGGGAGCTCCAGGGGCAAATCACCAGCCCTGCCCACAGCGAGCTTGCAGTCTTGTCCACGAGGGTCTGTGACACGCAGGAAACGCAGCCGGGGCAGCAGCAGGGGCTCCGGTCGAGCGCGGTGGGGCGGTCGCAGGGGCCACGGAAAGGGTCAGAATTCCCTTTTTCTGATGCCTACTCTAATCCTCACAGCAAGGTTGGTATTTTCATCCTTACTTAACAGACGAAAACTGTGAATCTCGGAAGGATTGGCATCCCCCGAAAGAAAGTCAGGATTAGAATCCAAATCAGCCTGGGTCCTAAACGAGTGGCCTTGCACAGCGTGGGTGAGGAGTGGGGCTTGAATTTACCTTAAAAGAGCAGCAAGACTTCCACGACAGAGAAAGAAGGGAGAGAGAGACGTGGGGGCCCAAGTAAGGCACCAGAGTCCAGGTTCAGTGAAGTCTAAGGTGTATGAAAAATGGGCGAGAGCCAGGCCGGGGTGAGTCAGACGTTGAGCATCGACCTATGATGCAGGAGATCAGGGTTGGATTCTGGTCACAGGCTTGATCCCCAGCAGGGGGCGTGCAGGAGGCCACCCATCAGTGACTCTCATCATTGACGTTTCTCTCCCTCTCTCTTCCCCTCTCTGAAATCAATAAAAACATTTTTAAAAAAATGAGTGAGTAGTTAGGGACAAACGAGAAAGCATTGAAAGACCGACAGGCTAAGAAATGGGGTTTTTTAAATTGTACATAGTGAGACACCAGCAGAAGTGGTTAAGCGAGAGAATGATTCCGTTCTGCTTTGGGATTAGAATACATCTGAGCTGACAGTTGCAACTGTCCTGATGACAAAGGATGCAGGCCTGAGCCCAGACCACAGCAGTGAGAATGAAGGGAGGACTGAGAGGAGTTGGGTTGGTAGGATATATGGCTGAGAAGGAACAGAGAGAATTCCATAATGTGACAAGCCTGGACAGAGAATGTGTCCTTGTCATATCATTCAAAAGCATCTCTTGAGCCAAATAGGGAGCACCTGTCAGAACTCAAAATGTACAAGGTCTAGCAATTCCATGTTCAGGAATTTAACCTATAGATATGACCCTAGGTAGACAAAGGTGTATGTTCAAAGATATTCTCTCAGCTTTGCTTTGATATTAAGAGTTTGGGAACAACCTAAATGCCCTTTAGTTGGGGACTAGAGAGGTTAATTATTGGTATATTCACAAATGCAACACTAGGTAGCTTCCTAAAAGAGGGAGGCAACTCTGTATATCCTGACACAGTTCAGTCTCCAGGTAGGTAAGTTGCAGTGTTAGAGTATATTATGACTCATTTGTGAAA